ACAACCAGTCAATAAAAGTGACAGCGAGTCCATAATATTTTTTTGATAAATCGTTAAACTTAACAAAACAACCTGTATCAAAAAATAATTTCCTTTACAATCATGCTACAACCTTAAAACAAACAAATAAGCTTATCAACAACCCCGTAAACTAAACAAATAAGCTTGAATACACGATGACTACTGCATGTATTACCATTGTCTCTACTCTAAGTTCCATAACCGTGGGTGAATATAACTGGCTCCCTTCAATGAACTTGTTCAATAACAAGATAGTTAAGATTCATAGATGCGTGGAATACAATAAATTCAGATGGATCAATGCTTGAATCACCTAGGAAGGCATGCAAATGCTGTTGGAGATAGTCTTCTGGATTACGTTTACTTTGTATAGCTATACAGTGTTAACGTAAGCCAGAGGACTATCTCCACCAGCATTCGCATGCCTTTCCATGTGATTCACGCATGACCCATCTGAATTGATTGTATTCCACGCACCTATCAATCTTAACTATCTTGTTATTGTACAAGCTCATTGAAGGGAGCCAGTTAATTCACCCACAGCTAATGGAACTAAGAGCAAACACATAAGGGGATAACGTCTTCATCAGCGTGAGGGATATCCAAGATCTTCATCAGTGTGTGCAAACCTTGTCACCATGACCTTCATCAGTGTGAATACTAGCGTTGATCTTCTGGTTTTAATGGCGAAAGGAGAACTTGTAGGTTTTGGGGAGAGGGTAGCTTGGGCTTCAGATTAAATGATAGAGGGTCAACAGAGAGCCGGTGATGGGGAGATCGAGGAAAGATTGCGCCGAAAGGATATCTACGCTATCCTGTAGTTGAACAGGCGAAGGGTAGGAGCCCAGGTTGTTGGCCTTCTTGTTTTGATGATGTTTAACAAACAATTTACCACTAATGTTATTTGTCTAGTATTTGTGTTTTCTTATTTATTATAGACAAACAACGTAGTTGGAGGATGGATGGAATAGAGCTTCAACGATCATATCCAAAGGAGGTTGGCGGAATGTCGGTGAAGCTATGCAAATTCAAGTTAAAGATCAAGTTCAAGCTTCATCCGCGAGTTTACCAAGTTGAGCTACAATGAAGATCAAGATCAAGCTTGGGTAATCTATTTAGAGTTTATATTATGTGTGTTAAATACGTTAAGCTCAATATCTATACACACACATTTATTGGTTTCTTCGTGTGTGTGTGTGTGTGTATATATATATATATAAGTTTTGGTTTCTATGCATATATATAGTTTTATATATGTACATGCATGGTATTGGGTTTTCATGTTTATAATATGAAATCACATATTTCATATTTATTATTGTGATTTGGTTTAACTACTTAGATATGAAACAAATATATTTTCATATTTCATATACATACTCCTATGTTTCATTCTCTAATGTATTTGTGAAAATATCATATTCTTAGTTTTTGGACTTAACAATAATCATATACATATTTTATTAAGTCTACAAAATCATTGTGCAGAGTTTCAAAACATGGTTTAGCCTAAATGCCAAAATTCATATGTTTACATTTTTGTGTTTTGGACTATTTTGCAAAATGATGATATTTTTCATTTGGGAAGTCCTTTTTGGAAACCAGTCATTGTAGCATGTTTATTATCATGTCTACAATCAAGTTTTATATTTTTTTAGAATTTATTTGATATTTTTAAACAGGGTTTTAAAATCAGAAAAACAGTTTTCAAAATCAGATTTTCATATATCAGTTCTCGGTCGACCGCACCGGTCGACCGGACCTATGTTATTTAGTCAGTGGGCAGCAGAGAGTTTGTCGGTCGACCGGTCCGGCTGTTTTTGTCTTTTGCTTGGGGTTGTTGGCTGAGGTTTTGGAGGTTATAAATACCCTCCTTGATCTCAGTTATCTAGAAGCTAAGAAAATTTTTTAAACAACCGAGAGCTCGATTTTTCTGTCGGTCGACCGCACCGGTCGACCGATGAAGTCTCTGTTTGTTTTTCTCAATTTTGATCTGGATCGCGGTCGACCGAAAATTTCGTTGGTCGACCGAATGATTTAGTCGGTCGACTGAATAATTTCGTCGGTCAATCGCCGGACTCCCAACGGTAATATTGTACAAAAATCTGTTTCTTGATTTTCTGGGATTTTTGTTGTTTTGTTTGTGGTTTTGGCTGATGGTTTCTCTTCCTATATAAACCCCTCAACCCCTCTTCTATCAGTAACCAAATGGATAGTTTTTAAAGAAGTTTAAAAGAGTTTTGAAAAGGGTTTTAGTTGGGTTCAAAGTCTGTTTGGTTTGAAGATTGTTTTACAATTGGAGAAGATCATTCACAGTGTCTGAACTTCATTTCAATCCTCCTCTCCATCTTGTTTTTCAGAAAAGAATTTCTAAACTCTTCCTAGCTTTACATTTTGTATTGTTTAATTATCATTTCTATTAAAGCTATTTTTATATTGAGTTTAGATTTGATTTTAACCTCATTGTTACACACACCCACATGAGCTTATTGTATTTGCATACATAGTATATTAGGGTTGTGAGAGATTATAACATTGAGTTGTGCTTCATTGTGTTCTCATCTATTGTAGAGAACAAATTTATATTTGTTACATTGTGAGATTGTTAGGTTTTCGGTGAGCTAGAAACCGAGTGTGTTGTGAAGTTTTCGGTGAACTAGAAAACCAATTGTGAGGAGCGACATTGATCGGTGAGCGTTGAAAACCGATACTGTGAGGTGTAAACGTTATTCGGGTGAACGTAGAAAACCCGGTTGTGATAGTGGATTTCTCCCCGGGAGTGGGGAGCGGAGACGTAGGACGGAAGGTCCGAATTTATACTTGTGTTTATATTTCTTGTCGCCATTGTCATTAGCTCATTATTTATATGATCCACTATCTAGATCATATAGTTTATCATCTTGTGTTAGTTTATATATCCTTGCATATATATATTCTTCATATAGGATATATCACACTTGCTAGGATAACATGTTTATTAGCTTTTAATTGGCATAAAATCAGATTAGATTAGCATAAGACCCTAATCACCCCTCCTCTAGGGTCTAACACAGGTTATATTAACTCTACTCCTTAGGAACTAGGAGGAACATTGAATGTAGTAGCAGAGAATATACTCCGGTGACCGTGACAACCAAGCGCAAGTGAATAATAGTAAGGGACCTAACAGTAAACATAACATTCAATCGATAAACCTAACAACCGAATAATAACCTTAACATCAAAACCATGACCTTAACATTTGTAACGATATACTTGACAATAATTCCATGTGCATGACAATAAAACGCTAAACTATATAGGCTCGTTCCAGTATAAGATTTCTTGGATTCTGACTATATGATAGCATCAACCATTTGAATGCTAATAACCTTATCTATTCACCATTGTCAATTCTCTAAGTTCCATAAATTGTGCTTGAATATAAATGGCTTCCAACAAAGAGCTTTCCAGCAGCCTGTTAAGTTCACGGAAAGCTCTTTGGAGAAAGCCATTGCTATTCAAGCCCATCTGATAGAACTTAGAGAAAATGACAATGAGGAATAGATAAAAGTAATAATATTCAAAAAAGGTTGATGCTATCATATGGTCAGAACCCAAAAATATTGAAGAAGTCTTCATAAGCGTGAGGGTTAGCCGTGATCTTCTGGTTTATGAGATTGGAGAGGTGAGAGCTTAGGATGATCGAGAAAATAGTGAGGACAAATAGAATGGCGGTGATGGGAAGATAAAGAAGATGTAAAGGTGAGGAGAAATGTTATATAGTTCGATTCTGTATTAGAACAATCCGAGGGATGGTGATATTACTCTACTGCCTTAGGAACTATGAAATGCATTGAATGCAGTCCAATCAAAAATATCTCGGTAACCTTGACAGCCAATTACAAGTGAATAATATAACCTTAACAACAAACAAATAAAACTGACAACCAAGTAATAACCTTAACAACCAAGCCAAAACTTCAGCATTAAAGTAATAAAATTGAAAACCAAGTAATAACCTTAACAGCCAAGCCATAAAACTTAACAATTTTAACGATATACTTGACAATTTTAACAATTGGTGATACTGACAACAAAGAGCAGGTGGATAACAGGTGTATAACAGTAAACTTAACATTCAATCGATAAACATATCAACCAATCAAAAACTTTAACATTAAAGTGATAAATTTGACAACCAAGTAATAACCTTAACAACCAAGTCAAAACATCAACATTAAAGTGATACACTTGACAACCAAATAATAACCTTAACAACCAAGTCAAAACTTCAACATTAAAGTGATAAACTTGACAACCAAGTAATAACCTTAACAGCTAAGCTATGACCTTCTCACTTGTAATGATATACAGGAAAACAAATCCATATACATGACAATAAAACGCTAAACTATATAGGCTCATTACAGCTTGCACGATTGTGACCCTTCATGTTACATCGAGAGCACTTAACAGGATGTGTGTTCAGTGACCTGTCGTTTATTCATCTTGTGCATGGTCTGCCACGTCTTTTTTTTGGTAAGAGGAGGCTTCAACACTCTCTCTTCTGGCGGTACAAAGCGCTTCTCGTAATCTGGGATGGGAAAGATGATCGGTGCATAACTTGCTCTGAATGCATCAACAGTCATGTACCAATCGTAATATTGATAAATTTCTTGTCTCATCCATATAATTGCAGCGCACGCATGTTTGCAAGGAATGTGGGTGATGTCCCAGGACCTGCAAGAACAAGTCCGATTCTTCAAATCTACACGGCAAGCTTTATTGGACTCGACCTCCACAATATCTTCCGTCGAATGTTTAATCGCCAAGCAGCTACCATGCTGAATATTATCACACAGCATCATCTCCGCTTCCGGGCATAAGTATCTAGACCATTTCTGACCCACTAGCCTCCTTTCATGCATGCACTCCATTATTTGCTTCCGTATGGTCTCAACCAAAGGTAAGATTCGCAACAATCGTGCCTTTCTTATCTAGCTGTTGAAGAACTTAGCAACGTTTGAAGTAACATGGCCATACCTTAACAACAAAGCACTAACAATAACAATAATTCCTTAAACTAAACATTAAAGGCCTAACCTTAACAACAAATATCCTAAACTTAACAGCAAAACCCTAGCAGAATAACTCTAACCATAACAATAAAAATCTAACCTTAACAGAAAACTGTAGGATAACTCTAACCTAAACAACTATGGTGCTGTAACAAAATAACGTTAAGACTAAGCTATCTTACCTTATACCAGGAAAATGTGCGTTTGCCCATCTCTCCGGGGAGTATTCCATTACAGTGACGTAAGCCCTGTGATCGATCGCTGCTAATTCTTTCATGTTATTATCCCATTCAGATATTATGAACTTATAAGCCGCGGATTGTAACAGCTCACCCAACGTAGTTACGACATTTGCCTTGTGCCCAAAATCCTTCATCTTCTTTTTGAAATTCTCGACTAGATGCAGAACACACCTTGAATGGAATGCATCTGGAAAGAATTCCTCGACTGCTGCCCTGATACCCTTGTCGGTGTCAAAAATCATTACCAGTTGATGTGGAGGTTGGTAAGGATTTTCCCTATCATACAGTAACCTCCATAATCCTTGTAAGAACCATTTCCAGTTAACCTCATTCTCTTGGTCGCATACGCAATAAGCAAGGGTAAATATTCCCTGGTTGCCGTCATACCCAGTAGCGCTACGTAGTATGTCTCTGTAATGATCTTTAATAAATGTTCCATCCAAAAATAATAGAGGCCTACACCCAGCAATGAACCCTTCAATACAGGCATTATAACTAATGAACAATCTCCTGAACCTCCCGTCATCAGCATCAATAACAACACGACTCCCTGGATTAGTTGCATGCACCATGGATTCATACCTGCATGAATATAACAACAAAGCAGTACATTTAGCGAAGGATTCATAACCATAACAAATGATCTTCAAACTTCACGATCAACACATATACTTAACGACGAACCAATAACTTTAACAACTAATACGTATAATTAGCAACCAAAACATAAGCAGTAGATTTAGCGAAGGATTCATAACCATAACAAATGATCTTCAAACTTCACGACCAACACGTATACTTAGCGACGAACCAATAACTTTAACAACTAATACGTATAGTTAGCAACGAAAACGTAAGCAGTAGATTTAGCGAAGGATTCATAACCATAACAAATGATCTTCAAACTTCACGACCAACACGTATACTTAGCGACGAACCAATAACTTTAACAACTAATACACATAGTTAGCAACGAAAACGTAAGCAGTAGATTTAGCAACAGATTCATAACCATAACAATTGATCTTCAAACTTCACAACCAACACGTACACTTAGCGACGAACCAATAACTTTAACAACTAATACGTATAGTTAGCAACGAAAACGTAACCAGTAGATTTAGCAACGGATTCATAACCATAACAACTGATCTTCAAACTTCACAACCAATCCAACTTTAACAACTACTACGTATAGTTAGCAACCAAAAGGTAAGAGTGATTTCAGAAGAATAAAAAAGATAAGGACCATCTCAGTGAATTGTAAGCCTCATCATCATCACCAAACAGGTCCTGTTGAGCTGTCTCCTTGCTCCACCATACTTTACTGTAGTTAATCTTGATGCCAAAATTAGAGAGCATGTCGTTCTTGATATCGACCGCACGAAGATCTGACCTAACCTTCAAAATAGCTTGTATTTGGCTAGCAATGAACTTTCTTGATGCCCTTGAGTTACCAGCATTTGCTCCATGTTGACCGCAGGTGTGAGTAGACTCGAAATTCTTTATGGACATGATAGACGAATTTCTAAGCGGGGAAGCAAACAACATCCAAGGCCAACCATGTGTGTGCATGAATCGGCAATAGACTCTTATGCGTCTTTGTTCATTATGGTAAAAATCATACTTGAACCGTTTAGCAATTGAATAGTATTGAAGTGCTAATCTAACTTCAGCAGCACTATCAAATTTCTGACCAACTTCACATATGGAGGTGTGCCACTCAGTTGGGATCTTTGTTTGGTGATTAAGCACGTCTTCCAGCAGCATGATCGAGTCGCCGGTGGGGTTATCATTAGGAATACACTCATCATTACAGGTTTGGGTGAACGTAGTATCTGCGCACCGTGAATTTTCTGTCGGTATTGTCCTGAAGTAGTTGAAAGTACCCTAATACCGCTAGGAAGGAACCCTAGAGGGGGGTGAATAGGGTTTATGCTAATATAATTATATATTAATGCCGATTAAAATTAATTAACAAATATCCTAGCAAGTATGATATATGACAAGATATATATGTAAAGATATACAACTAATACAAGAGTGAAACAAATAAAATAAGATAGTGGGAATATAAACAATGTGCAATTGACAAAGGCAATATAAATATGAAAATAAGTGCGCCAATGCAAACACAAACAAAACGATATGTTTACGAGGTTCGGTCCGCCTGACCTACGTCCCCGCTCCTCACCTCGAGGAGATCTCCACTATCACACCGGGTTTTCTACGCTTACCCGAAAAACGTTTACACCTCACAATACGGTTTTCTAGATAACCGCAAACTTTACAATTACTCACAATGTAACTACACTAACTACCACCTCAAGTGTTGGTCTCTAGCTCGTGTCTCCCTCAAGTGTTAGGAATTATAACCTCTCTCTAGGCATTATCACCTACCCCACTCCTCTTGGGACAACCCCGTCTCTCACCATACACTCCTCTTGGTGTACTAGTGTAATACAAAGTGTTCCTCACAATTAGGCTCACAATACAATAAATTTGTTCTCTACAATAGATGAGAACTCAATGTAGGCTCACTCTCTAAGTCACGCAATCCCACAACCTAATTATACAATGTATGCAAATACAATAAGCTCAATGGTTGTGTGTGTACAAAGAGATAAATAAAATCAACTAAACTCAATATAAACACTAGCTTAATAAAATGATAATCAAACAATAAAATGTAAAGCTAGATTGAGTTTAGAAAACTTCTCCAATAAATGACAAGAGTGAGAGAGAGATGATTTGAAGCAAACACCAAAGGATGATCTCTTCTTCCTCTTGTGAAATTATATTCACAAAACCGAAACTTTGAAACAAGGCTTTAAACACCTTTAAACAAACTTAAACCCTTGATTAAAACTTGTTAAACCTTTTCTCTTGTTAGGTGGGAGAGGTAAATGCAATGGGGTATTTATAACAACCCAAGACATCAGCCAAAACCCCAAGGAAATGACCAAAAACCCACACAAAAACAGATCTGGAAAATAGCCGTTACTGTTCAACGGTACTTAGTATAAGTCGACTTGCATTCGACTTAGTATAAGTCGACTTGAAAATTCACATGAGTCGACTTTCCAGATAAAAATAACACACAAAAATCAGCACATAAGTCGACTTGGAAAATGACATAAGTCGACTTGGTCTAAGTCGACTTAACAGTTCGAATAAGTCGACTTGGCAGAGAGTTTTTGCACATTCCAGAGCATTTCATAAGTCGACTTGTCAACTCTGATAAGTCGACTTATAAACGTGCACAGGCACTGTACATGCTGAAAATCTGATTTTAAAAGTGCCTTTAAAAATAACAAATAAATTCTAAAAATTATGAAACTTTGGGAAATGTTTATAAACATGATAATAAACATGTTACAAAAAGAATTTTTAGAATTACATTCCCTAATAGTGAAAACTCATCATTTTTCAAATATGTCCAAAACCATAAAAACGAAACATACATGTTTTGACATAAACCAAGTTTTGAAACTTTGTAAACTGATTTTATAGACTTAATAAAATATGTATAAACTGATATTGAAGTCTATAAACTAATAAAACAATATCTTATCAAAAACACTTATATTTTGATAAAATCAACAAATACGTGTGTGTGAATAATATGAGCTTAAAGTACTTAACACACATAATATAAAACCGAAACTACATTACCCAAGCAATCTTGATCTTCAAGTATATAATTGAGCTTAAAGTACTAACACACATAATATAAAACCTAAACTAAATTACCCAAGCTTGATGATCTTCAACGAAGCTCTATCTTGGTACACTTGCGGATGAAGCTTGACTTGGGTCTTTAACATGAATTGCAAGGCTTCAACCACTACTCCGCCAACCTCCATTGGATATGATCGTGAATGCGTAATTCCATCCATCCTCCAACATATTGTTTGTCTAGAATACCTAATAAGAAACATAAACACTAGACAAACAATATTAGGAATTGTTTGTAATCATCAAAACAAGATTAGAAGATATAGGCTCATAACATGAGACCTAACAATCTCCCCCTTTTTGATGATGACAAACAATCTACACAAAGAGTATATAAGTTATACAATAAAGCATAATACTCTTAAAATATACTCACAAACCACTTGTTTCTCCCCCTTTGGCAACATCAAAAATGGGGAAACAAAATAGTAAGAGAGCGAAAGCTCCCCCTATCATAAAGCATAGGTGAGTATAACACATAGTATAGGGATTGCTCCCCCTATCAAAATGCCATATGAAAAATATGCAATTATGAACATGGCAAACAAATGTGAGCAAGCATAAATGAAAGATATGCTAGATATCACTCACATACAAATAAGATAATAAGAACACATAATGATATGTCACGATAAATAGGTGTCTCAAAAAAACAAGCCTAAATACCATGTATAAAAAATAGATTTATGAAATCAAAAGAAAGAAAAACATGAGAATCATGCAAAAAGAGTTAAAGATCATGGCAAACATGTGAGCAAGCATAAAAAATATGCTAAGAATCACTCACATTCAAGAGATAATGAGAACATATATAAATATATCAAGACGAACATATTGTCTCATATCATAAAAGCCAATGTATAAAATAGATTTATGAAGTCAAAAGAAGAGAAACATGAGAATTATGTAAAAAGTTTTCAAATGAAAACAAATCAACCAATTGAAATCATAAATCAAAGTTTAAATCATGAAACCAAATCATCATTGATTTTCAAAAATCAAGAGAGGCAACTCTATCTAGCTCTTGAGCTAGTATTAACCCATATGAACATTTTAGCATCCGGTAAACATGATTTGGGAATAAACACCCAATAAACCCGGGGGGTTATATAAACACAAACCTCTCATCAAAACAAAACTAATAATTATGAAAACAAAATAATTTAACCAATAAAAAGATTTGTTTTCATAAAAGATTTAAAATACATTTCACAAAACCAAGAAAAAGAAAATTAAAACACTAAAAATTATTGGTTTAAAATCAAATTTGTTTTGGTACCCAAGTATTCTTGGTACCAAAAGATTTAGGGACATGACCCCTATCATTCAAGCTCAAAGTCCTAGGGTTATGAACCCTTTTGGACATATATTGTGCACGGGATCGGTCATAGCAATAATTACTCAAATGACCCTTCCGATTGCAATATGTACAATGGAAAGGAAGCATTTGCTTATGTTGACCATTAAAAGGTGCACGTGGAACATTTGCAAATAAAGATTGTCTTTTAGAATTATTTTGCAAATGAGAAACATCATTAAACAAAGGTGGTCTACTTGAGAAATTTGGCAAGTTTGAATAATTTTTTAAATCATAACAAAACTTTGCCAAATGGCCAAATCTACCACAAATATCACACTTAAACACATGTGGTCTATGAAAAATATTTGGCAAACTAGAATTCTTTTTCATGTCAAAGCAAAACTTTGCCAAATGGCCAAACCGACCACATAGATCACATTTATACACATTAGCATGCTTATGATGAGAAATAGATGTATATGCATGTGTGTGTGATGAAGAAGCCTTATGAGATGCACAAGAAGCATTAATCTTAGAAGATTTGTGTGCATCATAGCAAAATTTAGCAATGTGGCCTTTACGACCGCAAATTAAGCATTTGTAAACTTTGCTATACATGTGTGCATGATGTGTAATATGTCTAGGTGTAGTAGCATGAGACTTAGCACACATGTCCATAAGCTTATCATTGTTAACCATACATGTTTTCAAGGTTGAATCTAAACAAGATATGCGATGTTTAACTTGACTCAACTCATCATTTTGCATACATGTATAGGAAGTAGAAGTAGATGAAACATGATCATTTTTAAATGAATTCAACTCATTTCTAATAGCTTCTACTTCTAACATGGCATAGTCTTTTTCATGAGTTAAACTAGTAAAGTTTGAAAGCAATGAATCATGATCCGATTTTAATTTATCATTCTTTTCTTTGAGGATCACATTCTCATTAGAAACATTATCAAACTTAGAAATCAACAACTCATGATCGGACTTTAAATTAACATGCTTGCTTTTTAAATCAACAAAATCATTTTGTAATTTATTGTAGGCATGCGCTAATCTATCATATGCACAAGCGAGTTCATTAATAGATAGATCATCATCGGATTCCGAATCGCTTACCACACTAGGGCTATCGCCTAGTGGTCGTGTGCAAGATGAGGCTCCACATAAATTTGAAGAGGAACCCGCCAAAGCTTGTCGGATAGCCTCTAAGTTCCCTTGATGTGCTTCTATAAATTTCCACAATTTGTAAGTACTATCAAAAGAATCAAGCTTGTTAGATATTGATGAATCAAATGCATTTAATAGAAATTCTAACACAAGCTTGTTCATAGTAAATATTTTTTTATCATGTTTGCTCCACTTGGATTTCGCCAAAGTGGGCACAACATAAGCACAATCAATAACTTCCTATAAATCGATATTTTTAGATTGAACAAATATTTTGAATCTAAAACACCATTGAGCATAAGGGAAAGCATTGAATTTGGGAGCAACACTAGGATCATAGCCTAAACAAGATGCATCATTCATAGCCATAATTATATAAATATGCAAGCAATGCAATCAATAAATCGTAAAACTAGATTAGCACAAAAAGCTAACTTGGATCTTTAACTCAATGTGGTTAGACCTTAAATCAAAGAGCACCAAGCTCTGATACCAAATGAAAGTACCCTAATACCGCTAGGAAGGAACCCTAGAGGGGGTGAATAGGGTTTAT